CGCAAGTGGGAGAGGAGACGTGGCTTCAAATGATTCGTTAAAATCCAAAGATAAAAATCTCAACCGTTGGATTGTCTGACTTATTCAAAACGCCGTCGTTTGAAATGCCACTTGATGTTTTAATAAAAAATGCCGCGTCCACCGAATATAAAAAGCGAGTCCAGTAGTCAAAGAAAGCAATTATCCACACCGTATTTATCGTGGACGCGACCACAGAGAATCATTACTCGTTTCTTCTTTGCGCACCACCAACATTTCTCTTCCTCCTCCTCCGAAGTCTTTGGTTCTTCTTCTCCGAATCCGAGAGAAGAAATAGCCGAAAACCTCGGCCAATCGAAAACACGCGAAACCAGAGGTATTTTTGTACTTTAGCTTTTTTGGATCTATTCTTTTTACACGGATTTATAGCTTTCCTCTAATCCGTTTCGAATCTTCTTCTTGGTTTTTTCGGATCGTAGGTTTTTTTGGATATGGCATCGAAGCGGATCTTGAAGGAATTGAAGGATCTGCAGAAGGATCCACCCACATCATGTAGCGCAGGTGCTTCTTTTTTTTTATTCGGAGATTTTTTATCGCAAAGTTTTATGTTTCTCTGAGCTTGGTAATGGTAGATCGGGTTTTATGATTGTTCTTCTGCTTGGATTTGTGTGTTTATGTGATGTTTGGTTTCGATCTGGAGCTCATGATGATTTTCCAGTATTGTTTTAGAGTAATCTTGAATGATTTAGCCAAAGATATTCTGGGATCTGGTTAATTTTGTGAATTTTCTCTGTCTGTAACAAAATTAGTATAGTCTCGTTTCTGTGAGAGTTGAGATCTTGTAATTATAAGCCTTAAAGTCGTTCATTGTGTTACTCTATGGGATCTGGTTCTCAGATATTGAGTTTATGTTTTTAATTTGTGTGTGTGTGTTTTTTACAGGTCCTGTTGCTGAAGATATGTTTCATTGGCAGGCAACGATAATGGGTCCTTCAGACAGTCCTTATGCTGGAGGTGTTTTCCTTGTAACCATTCATTTTCCTCCAGATTACCCATTCAAACCCCCTAAGGTGATTCCAAAAGCTTGTTTTTTGCTTAAGCTGCTTTTGTATGTGTTTCTTCTTTGCGTTTGCGTCATTATCAACATCTCATCGTTGTTCGTATGGTGCGACGGAATCTAGGTTGCCTTTAGGACAAAGGTATTCCATCCCAACATCAACAGCAATGGAAGCATTTGCCTCGACATCTTGAAGGAGCAGTGGAGTCCTGCTCTCACCATTTCAAAGGTCCGCTTTTTCTTATTTTTACTGAAAACATTTGAACCCGCCGTAACCAAAAAAAAAGAATCTTTAGAGGCAATAATCTGCTCATATCAAACATGCTTTTGCTATCCTCGATTCCCATTTGAAGTGATAACATTGAGCTGTCTCTTAAGTCATTAAGTTTTGACTCATTTACGATGGAAATGGTTATTTATTCGGCTCATCTATTCCTCCTCATTAGAAGTAATAGCATGGAGGTTTTAGCTGTCTCTTAAGTCATTAAGCTTAGACTCATCGAGGATGGAAAATGGTGGATTCCTTATCTAACTACTACTATTGCATTTGCAATGAACAGGTGCTGTTATCGATCTGTTCTTTGTTAACCGATCCAAACCCGGATGATCCTTTGGTACCTGAGATAGCTCACATGTACAAGACTGACAAGAACAAGTATGAGTCGACTGCACGGAGCTGGACTCAGAAGTATGCCATGGGCTAAAAGTAATTTCTATAAATAAAAAAAATGTGCCGTAATTTCTATGTATGATTCAATAGACAATCTCTGTATCCTTTTTTAAAATTTCTGAAGACAGGACGAAATGAAGTGTGTCCTGTTTTTTAAAAAAAACAAAAGAACATCATCTTTGTGAAACTAGAAACTGAAAATCTTGTCTGTGTGGTGGAATTATGATTTGATGTTTTTCTTGTGTGATGAGATGAGCCACCCAATTCTTCAATTTTATTATCTGACTACTGTGTGCCCATAAAACAATTTGATTCTTTAAATCAGGAAATGTTTTTTTTTGCTATCAACTCAGTAGCAAGTATACCTTCTTCCAGACGAGTTTCGTTGATACTTACGTTTTCTATATTTGTAATCAAACATTGCATGTAGTCATTATTCAACGTCCAGCGATTTGCAACAAATGCTTGACTACTCCATTACAACTCTGAACTGTGTTGCATTCATTTAGCATGATATATCATCATACATAGATTCGACGTTTTGGAAATGTAAAGTTGATTTCCACGAGTCTCGGAAATTAATCTGTCTTGGGTATTTTGGTTAAAATGC